AGTGAGATGTGTTAAGGTATGCATGGAAAATTTATAGCCCATATACAGTCGATTTTTCTGGATTTTTGGCGTTAGTTAGTGAGTACGGTAGCATATGGGAGGTCACACCTTACACCCGGCTAATTATCACCACCGGCCCATCGTAATTACAACCCGGCTGTATAGCTACACACACATTTGCATACCGGCCATTTATCGAGGGGAGAAGTCAATTTGATATGTCTAAATGGCTGGGCAAGGCAGAAGTAACAATACGGTAACACAATAGATATGTTTCTCTCTCCCTCACTCTCTCACCCTCTCTCTCTCCCTCCCTCTCTCTATCTCTCTCGCTCTCTCTCTCTCGCTCTCTCTCGCTACATTGTATAGAAACAAGCATCGACAAACAATCGCGCCATCCCGCACATCCCATCCCCCAAATAACGCCCTCCAAACAAAACCCCAAACCAAATGCAAATTGCCCCCACTGCGGGCGCGCGGATCCGGAATGTAATTTGGAAAAACATGGTGGCCGTGATTGTGGCGGATCCCGCCGGGGTATAGGGCCATTTTCTTGATTACGTAGAAATACTCTGGCTACCACAAAACGCACACGCTACGCTTCCATCGTGTAACGCGTCGCGTATTGCGGTAGAGGCGAGATAGGGAGGAGATCCTTAGTCAAAAATAACTATTAATCCTGTTAAACACTTGTCGCAGTTTCTCTCTCGTTCTCACGCTTTCTCTCTCTCTCTCTCTCTCTCGACTTAAAAAATTAGAATTTCCTGTATTTTCGCATTTTTCATTTTCCTAGCGCATTCAAAACATTCCGGAACCAATTCGTACTCTGGATCCCGGGCGTACCTCGAAAATACCCACGCCTCCTTCTCCTGTTCTTTCTAGGGGTGCTGCTCCCCTTTTCGGGCCCCCGGGGTTGAGGATCATAATTTGAAGGGGCACCCTGGTCACCGCTCGTAGGATAAGGGCCAAGGGTGCCAAATTTCTAGGCGGTCTCCAGATATAGGTGGTTGGTGTCCTGCTATACTATGTAGCACCAGGGTATCCTAATCTGCTACATTTTACTGTTAAACGTTGTAGATTAACGATACGAGTAAGGCATATCTCTCAACTTTCTAGTATTAGGGTTGATTTTAGATCCCATGACAGCCACACGCAACGCATGACATAGCAGAAAAACGCCAAATCCCCGACAGCCAGGATCCTGACCGACAAAAATCCCGACATGGAAAGTTCCTGTGTAGATGGAAGTGGCTTTCAAACTGTGTCGGTTAAAAATGTGTCGGGGATTTCGGTATTTTGCGTGTCGGGATTCTGGCTATCGGGATTTTTGCCTGTCGGTATTTTCGCTGCCGGTATTTTGGGTGTCGGGATTATGACTGTCGGGGTTTTGTCTATGAGGATTCGGGCTGTCGGGGTTTTGGCCTGTCAGGATTCTGGCTGTCGGGATTTCGGCCTGTCGTTATTCGGCTGTCGGGATTTTGGCTATCAGGATTCTGTCTGTCGGGATTTTGGTCTGTCGGGATTTTGCGTTATTTTCGCTGTCGGTATTTTGGGGATCGGGAATTCATAGCCAATAATTCCGCCCTGCCTTCCCGGTCCCGTTAACCCCTAACCAACCACCCAAATGATGTTGCGCAGTGTTTCCCCCGCGCGCACGGCTCCAAAATGATCACACAACGGTGGCCATCTGGCCGTGGAGCTTGGGGGTTCAAAACCGGAGCTCTTCGATCCCTCCTACCCTTCTTCAGAATTGCGCAACGGTCAGCGTGTAGCGCTAATTAGAGGGCCCTCCCGCTGCGATTTGCCACCCCCGAAGCAGGATAGTGGGACGCGCGCGGGGCGGCTTCTCGCCTTTTTGGCCTTTGAATGGGAGGGTATTTGGGTGGGGTGGGATGATCTGTTGCCCATGCATGCACCTGCAATATGGGCCAATGCGGGGGTATTGTTTGGGTGATGAAAGGGGTACTGTAGGGTATTAACGGGAGGATCCCAGCGCATCTTTTGGGGCTTGCATTCTTTGAAAAATTGCATTAAGATTACTATAATACTTTTCAAAATTTTCAATTTTCTCTATAGTTTTTTACGATGAGATATTTTTAAACAAGTTGAGGTTTCAGGGTTTTAACGATTAGCAAATGTTTTTCTGTAAAAAATGCGTCTTTTGTATACTAAGCTAGCTGATTAGGCACGTTTTTAAAAAAACTAGCGTATTTCGGAGTTTCTTTCAGATCAACGCTTCATTAGCTGTTTTTATAGCAAAAAAAAACAGGTGTTTTAATACTTTAGAATGTCTAAAATATACTTAGCTTACTTAACTTAATCAACACCTTTTCGCGCCATCTTAAATTTCTCAAATTAATTTGTTTTATATTGAAGATGAAGATATTTAGAATAGCATAGCCTTATTTAACTGGCGCAGATTATAACCGGAGTAACGACCTTCCTTTTAGTATATTTATGGTGTACCAATGGCAAATAAGTCTAATTTTATAAGCGGAATAGTGAGAAAGCCTGCGTTAAATCTTTCTCCACTTCATAAAACCCCATCCCCGCACCCCATTTTCGCGTCATAAAAATGGTGCCAACTGTCCACAGGTGTTCCCCGTAGCCATTTAGCGCGACGAACCATGTAGTACATGATGGGGGCACCTCGTTAATCCCATCCCACTACCTTCGAATACCTTCACTGTCCCCTGGCCCGTGCCCATTTAACAGATGGCAAGTCATGGCACGCCTCGATGCCCAGAACATTGTAGAGAGCAAATGGGAAAGCGAGAGAGAGAGAGAGAGAGAGAGAGAGAGAGACAAAGGGAGGGAGCGCGAGAGAGAGAGAACAATAATTGAGCATGGTGTGTGGAGGCATGCCTAGCGGCTAGTGACCCTCCCCCTGGTATCATTCGCTAGTTACGCACCCCCAACCACCATGGCTCATTTCCGGATTAACCTCACCCCCCGACGGTGAGGCTAGTTGACTTCCTAGCTAGCTAGTTACCTTCCCCATTCCGATATATCATACTTTAAATGTCCTTGTGATGCGTCAGAATCAACCCCTTTCAAAGACTAGATCTCGACAACTACGAATCGCAAGAAATAAAGCAATTTTGCGGCTTTTCTGGCAATTTTATGCGTCAATTTGATGTTAGCTTTTGCACAGGTGTTCTCGCTTCTTGTTCCCTTTATAATCCGTTCTAGGACTGTCGTTACCCCTTTAGAAGTTAGGTAACTCGCAAGACCTGGATGTCACAAACCTTTTAAAGGCTTTAGAATTGGAAAACCGACCCTTAACTTCGGCTAGCTCTCGATAGCTACGCGGCGCGACAAATGACGCGTTTTCACGCATGCTTGTAAATCCTAAAAAACTCAAAAGTTGCTCAAACCATCTTTTTTTTGTGTAAGAAGTCAAGATCTAGCCGATCGAAAAGGCTCGGATTTCGCGGTCTTTTAAAACAGTTTAAGCTCGTTTACCCTGTCAGCTCTTTCGCAAAAATCGAAAAAAATTTGTCTTTTTTCCTAGACATGAAAAGATCTAAGTTTGATTTTAAAGGCGCTACGGTAGTGCAAATCTGGTGTTTTGATAATTTATAACTATACGAAACCTTAAAACGTAATAAGCTTCTGCCCAGTTGCTTTAGAGTCAGAAACCAAGCTTCACCTGTCCCTTTAGCTGCACCCCATTCCGCCAATAACCCAAAGCCCCCGACTCTTTAATTGTCGTCGAGCCAATGAAGGGATTACGGGGGGTCCCTAGCTGGACCTTCACAGTTTCCAATTTCCCTTCCCACCCGTGTCTAGAGGCAGGTGGATGCATCTCCCCCACTCGGCATTCACAAATTGTGACCGTGGCCATGTAATCCCCTCGAATTATGCGAGCATCTAGCTTGTCTCTGTCTCTCTCCTTCCGTTTGCCTGTGTCTTCTGTCTGTTTTTCTATCTGTCCAAGACCGTGTCAAGCCCCTCCTCTACAAGACGCCATGCTGGGTCTCGACTAAATTGGCCACATCTGCTACCCCCAAACAACACCATGGGGTGGTAGGGGGAATAAGGAGGCCACTTTTCCGGGGCGTACAGTCGGGTGACTGAGGCGTTTTTGTATAGTTTTTGGGAAGGTTACTGTATTTTTGCATTATTTTTATTGTTTTCGATGCTTTGAAGATAGCATAGTCAAATAGTGGTGAATTTTAAGCTTAAAACGTGTGAAACTATGCAAAGGCTTTGGTAAGTCTAAGCCTGCTCTTTCTCTCTCTCTTTCGCTCTCTCTCTCTCTATCTCTCTGTCCCTCCCCACTGTCCCTCCACTCTACTCTCAAAAAAAAACTAGAACTAATAGCGGACAAGGGAGCACGAGACGGAGCACCAACTTGGCCCCGAAACCTCAACCTCCCAAAAATTCCCAACCACACCCCAAACCACCGGCTCGACCGCAATTTGTCGTGTGCCGGACACGGCCCTCGCTCATCCCAGCTCCAATATGCATATTACAACTGCTAGTAAGGGGGCACGACATGTTGTTGTCTTTTGGCCCTCTTTCCGGGAGCATCGACAGGTGGCTGTGTCTCGTCGATGGACCCCCGTTCCGGCCCGCACTACCTGTCATTTTCCGGCTCCATGCGCATCCCCCGGTCCCTCAGGCAGATCCATCATCATCACTTGCTGGTTTTGCGGTTTTTAAACTAGCTTGCTAGGTGGTAGCCTGGCCTAAAGGGGCCGGTAATGTAATACTGCGGATTCCCGTAGCTAGGGCTTTTTTGGTAACTTTGCAGCGTCCGCGGCATGCAACCACTTGACCGTCTTGAAAAGGTCGGAACTCATTACGCGATTGAAAGGAGTTTTTATTCTTAGAAACCTTTTTGGCTCGCCAGCTAAATTTTCGGTCCCTTTTGTTGCAACTTTTATCTCGTGCTCTCTCGCTGATTCTCTCCCTCTTTCTCCCTCTTGCTCCCTCTCTCTCTCTCGCTCTCTTTCGCTCTCGTTCTTCCTCACCTAAACCTCCGCTTTTCAGAGATGATGCTCCTTCTCCTACTCCTTATCTCCGTCACCGCCGCCTTCGAAGCCAGCCGCTCCCCCCGAGAATCCATCTTTGCCCCGGATTACTGTAAAAATGGAGGAGCTTTTGTGAACGTGAGTCTAACCGTTCCTAACTTACTCTCGGGCTCTTATCCTCCCCTTAAAATCTTCAAATTCCATTCACCATACCCCGAGGCCACCTACCAAAAAAGCAATTGACATCGATGGTCGCGATCGCTGGATGCGATACCCGCCCCACGGCCAGAGGTTAATCCGGATTGCGGCCAGGCGGGGCGGCAAAAGAACCATTGAGGGCCATCCAAAAAGCATGGGCCCATTGTCTACAGTCCCATCCACATCCGGGGATCATCCCCCCTCCCACTCCATTCCTAGCCACGATTGCCGTAGCCTAAGGGTATGGGCGCGTGAAATTGCGTGCAGATTGTTGGGGCGTGACCCCGGAGAAATGTTCGTTTGTGGGGGAGTAACAGCTTTGCTAGAACTTCAAAAAAATTCTCCAAAAAGTGTAGCTATACCTTAAATCAATAAATATACCCTGAATATCACAATTTCAGGGCGAATGCCAATGTACTCTACGCTACGAGGGAAAACAATGCGAACGCGAAAAGTGTCTAAATGGTGGACGACGTCATAAGACAAACGGAGTGGTAGGTATTAAAAAACGAGTAGATACTACACCTAAAAACAACCAATACACTACTTCACAAAAACTAGACATTTATCTAGAAATTTAGGTACACAAATCTGTAGAAATTTTTCGCTGAAACGCTAAAAAACTAGTCAAAACAACTTGTTCTAGGTGAAATGCCACTGTCCATTTGGCTTCGCCGGTGAACGCTGCGAAAACGTCACGTTCTGCGAGCCGGGCAAGGGAAAACTGATCAACGGCAAATGCGAGTGCTCCGACCGATGGACCGGACAATTCTGCCACATCCGGACGTGCTACAACGGGATCCCGACCGGAGGATTGGTGAGTACAGAGAACTCGAATTTCACAAAAAAATCCTCGCTCACGTTTTCTTACAAAGTGAACGATCGTCTAAACATAATCCACACCCCCTTTCTACTATTCCACGCTTCAGGAAGGTTTCTGCCTTTGCGACGTCGGCTTCACCGGACCGTTCTGCGATGAGAAACTGATGTGCTACAATGGAGGCAGCGTCAGCCAGGTAAAATCTCGATCAATTAGAAAACCAACGCTAATTCTCAGGACAACGAGTGCGTCTGCGCTCCCGGGTTTGCTGGCGACCACTGCGAGGACTGCGCCCCGGGACATCACCGCGAAGGGAAAAGCTGTGTCGCTGAGGTCTCGGGCCATCCGCTTCTCTCAAACTCCTCGTTGGACCAATTCCCCTGGACGATCATCATGGTAAGAAAGAAAAAAACTGCTAGCAAAAACCAAGGTCCTTTTAAATTACCGGGGGGGGGGCATAACCAAATTTATTACAATTCCAGATATACCTTTTGACGTAATAGCAAGTATTTTCATGGTGTTTGAGCCACATTTAGCCATATTTAAATGGGAGAAACTACCGAAGAAAACTACAAAAATTACCATTTTGTTCGAAAAAATGATGATTTTCGGTTTTTTAAATAGTTGTAGCGTTTAGGAAAGTAAAAACGGTTGAGGACCACTGCCTTATGTTAGAAAATAGAAAAACTAGCATAAGACCTAGATACTAATGAAAAACGGTTCCCCCTCCCCCCGATAATGCAAAAGCACCTAAATCGAACAACAACTAATTCGAAATTCGCATAAAAACAATTCCTAGGTCGCCGGCGTCTCACTAGCCGCCATCCTCCTCATCGCCCTGTCGGCAATTTTTGGCTTGCGCAAGTGGAAGACAAAGCCGAGCAGAGTGGGCTCGGCCCAGAGCGTGCAGAAGGATCTCCAGGTCGGTGGTGAGCCCTTTCTCTACTCCAGGGCATGCTCGCTCTCAGCCACTGTCGCTCATTATTTCCGAGATCATTAGGGTAGACCCTAAAAATGGCTATCTAAATTGAAAGAGCATGCCTTGGTGCGAGAACTGTTGCTTGGGCTTTGTTATTCAGCAAAAAAAAAAACAAGCTAAAACAAAATGAAAATAATCAGTTACCTATGGATCGCAGCAAACATATACACCTAAAAATAAAACCTTAACTATGGAAGGAAAAGGAAAAAGCTGTTAGGGACTAAAAAAACGAGTAAAAACATTTTCCTAACGAAATGATCGGAAAAAAGCCCGACTTTGGACGTACTTACGAAATCTACCACTATTCATTGAATATAACTACCCAAAAGGAGTTGAAAACCTTAAAAAGATAGATAGAATTAAACCCCAATTTTCAAGAAAAATTAGCTATAAAGCTTCTAAGAAAAGGCAAAATATCAGTAATCACGTTAAAAAGCTGCACCGCGAGTGGACAAATTTCGTGACAAACTGCTAAAATAGACTGGAGGGTTTGAGCAAACCCAAAAACGCCGAAAATACCTCATTCTTCACATTCAGGGTCAGCCGGCCACCGACGTCTAACGACAACACCCCGCTCAGCGCTGCTCATCTTCAACGAGAACTTCAGCCTAGCTGAAGGTTCCTCAACCTCCCATATCCTCCTTCCCCTATATGCCTTCGAGAACTACCGCCGGGCACGGCTGCAGAGCCTCGCAATCGAAGACCTCTAAACTACCCTACGAAAATCTTTCCGAACCAAAACTTCCAACCTCAACCCCCCGACGCATCCCCCCACCGTGCATTCACTTTTGGTCAAACCGTCCGTCCAGCTTCGTACACCTAGTCCATTTGAAAATTGTTTTGATATTGAAAAGAAGAAAACCGTCCTTAACCTTCAGCTCTCCCTACTTTTTCACGTTCTCGCTCGAAAAATAATCTCAGGACCCGATCTTTGCCCCCCTACAATTGTAGTATTACCATCCCCCCTCCTACAGGTAATACCTGAAATTATCTCTTGTGTTCGCGTTATGCCCATGTCGCGCGATGTGGTGCTTGAATAAATTTTATTGTATATTTTGTTTGATAATACGTGAAAACGACGAACAACACAAAAATCTCAAAAATTAGTACGCGCCACGCCAATAAACAAAGGTTTATTGGAACGGAAGGCGGCAGCGCAATTTTCAGAATTTTATTTTACTTGGTTTGATTTTCGTTTTTGTCTGGTTTTTCCGATCCCGTACTGGGGTCCAGCTCCCTGGGGCCTCAAATCTGCACAAAAATGCGAAATCTCGAACATCCGTTCCGCGCTACACCAAATGACGCGGGTCCCGCAGCGATTTGGGACCGGACTAGAAAATTTCAAAAAGCGACCACGACATTTCCGCCAATTTGGGGTCAAAAATCTAAAACCTTCCGAATAAAATTTTCTCAGTGTCCGCTTTTGATAAATTCAATTAGGATAAATAAAGAGTAATAAAGAAAAAATATTATGATTCGGGAGTATCCCTGCCGCGCAATAGTTACGCTCCCGAACATATTCGTTTATTCATGTGTGGTTCGCAATTGGGAGTTCACGTTCTCAGCAATCCTCTTTAAATTTTTGTCTTTACCATGGTCTTCACGTATTTCACTCGCTTCTCGTTTCGTATCTGCCACTTGATATCATTTTTTAGTCAACGCTGCGATGGAGGGAAGGAGAAAGCCAATGTCTCTTCTGCTGGACGGCCTCGACTACAGCAGCCCGGAAGGGATCAAGAAGATGATGAAGACGGTCACCTACTATGGCATCCAGCAAGTTGGTTTTTCTGCTGAATCGTGATTTGCTTTAGATATTAAAATTGCGCGGTCTCCTCCCCAGGCAAAACTTTCGGAAGAAGGGCTTGATCACCGGAGGCCCGACCGGACATCTGAGCGGCTACGTACTGATCCCGGCGGATGACGAAGACAAAACGACGGTTGCCGCGCGCTTCCGTGAGAAGATCAAGGGCCTGTCGGAAATCATCGACGACGAAGTGCTAAAGGTTGGTGAAAGTACGGTTTTGTTTAGATTTTTAGGAAGTTAGCCTCGTGGTTTCCACCAACAAACAGGATATCTACGACGCCGCAGAGGTCTACACGTTCAATTTCCGCTACGGAGACGACGCGGTGATGGAAATGAGGTAAAATCACTTGCTTGCCGTGGAAAAGAAACCATATTTTAGTAAGAGCGGGGGCGAATCGTCGCTGGGTGCGGGGGCCTCAGCCGACGATGTGGCAAAGTTTTTGTTTGACTTGTCCGTTCTTTGCCAATCGACGAACGTGTTGCCAAACCCGATCACCACTCTGCAACTTCGCCTGGTGGGACCACAAGGTGTGCTTTTATCTAAAATATTTTTGAAAAATTTTCAAAACTAAAAACCAAACTTTCAGGCGGGCTCAATTATGCGCTAGACCATTACACGGCCCACGACGCCCCTTACAAGTTCGACCATCCGCATGTCCTCGACAACTACCGCTTGGGCCATATACGCGCAGATGGTGCAGCGTGAGGAGAACGTTATTGGTAGCGATAAATTCGCATCTTAGGATGGGTCTGAACCTGCGCAGCTGTCAAGTCACCGACAAGGTCGAATTCGAATCCCGGATGCACCGCTTCGCGCAAGAGCGCATGAACAACGCGAATTCGACGCTGGGCTCGATTGACATGCAGCGAGCTATTGCGCAGGTGAGAATTTTCAGCGCTTTGATTCAGTTTTAGTCGCAGTTCAATGGCGTCCCAACTCTCTCGCCGGCTCTGAAACAATTGGCTATCAACAATCGTGCCGCTGATGGTAAGACAATTTCCATCGCGTTTGTATGGCTTATTTTCCAGATCATGCCACGACCACCTACACCGGCACGGCCTCCCGTCGAAGCGTCGACAAGGACTCTTCCGGCAGCACGGACTCGAAGCCGAAGCAACGAAATCGCCGGACTCTGCGCGCTAAATAGATATATATTTATCGTTCTGTGATTTGTATTTCGCGCTGTATAACCCTTTTTAACCCATGTTCGTTGTTCTTGTTTTGTTGGTTTTCGGAATTTGAATAAACAATTTACCCGTGATTTAGGCGTTATTTCTGGAAAGCGTCTCGACGTTTTGATTATTTGCAGACGATACCAAGGCTCCGGCGCTCAAACCACAGCATTAGCAAAATGACTTGCGGCACTCCTGAATGTTAGAAATGACCGAAACGCTAACAAAAGGCATAAAAAAATCCAAATTTGCGTCCGTTGAGACGTATTTTTACGTCAATTCTTGCTCTCGTCAATTCAGTGTCGTTTATTTTATTGCATTTTTCAGAATTTCGCAATCACAGGCCGAGCCGCACTCGATGGCCCCATCGGACATGGGGCCCGCGGATCTCGAGCACATCGCCGCCTACTTTAGCGAAACTCGAGCAGCGCTGGGAATGAAGAAGAAAAAGTCGACAGGCCCAGAACATTACCGCAACGATGTGGTTCCACCAGAACTACGAAGAGGTATTACAGCGCGTCTCTTGCATCCGGTTTAGAATTTCAACTATTCACGACAACGATAATGGACGGGCAAGAAATCAAGAAGAAAATTGAAGCAGAGGGAGCGTATGGTGAGGGTCTGTTGCATCTTGTCAATGATTGAATGTAGCCGAAGCTCTCGGTAAGGTTCGAAGCGCGTCGACTAACACCATGGCGACAGTGAATTTGCGTGTGAGGGACCATTTCGACGAAACAGGCCCGGCATACCAAAGGTTTTGATGGCTTTATCGATGGTCTATTTGGTTTAGAGTTACAACCGATGATGCGGCCCAAAGAGATGCACTCGAATTGGCAGAAATCCGTTGGTTTCAAAAATCGGAGCTACAGGAATCTGCAATGGTAATTTTAAAGTTCTACCTGGCAATCTTTTCCTAGCTTTCTGATCCCCAAGATTCGAAAATCGAAAGTGAGGAGCTACCGATCGAAGAACATTGGACCCCACTAGAGGTATTCGACACAATTTGCTGACCACTTTTCTTTTCTTTAGAAAATCGCGGTAAAATCGGTGGATGATGCCGCTCAAGAGATTTGGGACGGTGAGCGGGCGCTGCGGGATGAACGAAGAGAGTGTAAGATTATTCATTATGCCCAACCTTATTTTCCAGTGGCAGAACTGCGGAAAAGACGACGGGAAGCCCTGAACGAATCAGAAGCCTACTTTGCACGATTGGCCGAAGTCTGCCCGAACCTAGCGACAAGAGCACGAGCACTTTTGGATCGTCGCAATTGATATTGTGATACTTCATGGTGCTTGCTTCTCTTATCGTGTATGATTCTGCGCCGTAATTCACTTGTCTCTTCAGAACTCTCGTTTGCCCGGATCTTTTTCCCTATTCGCTATCATCTACCAAGTGCATTTTTCATTTTTATCGCGCCTTTCCACATTCACGTTGTCGTTTACTCGATCGACCTGGGTGTCTCAAAATACTCTTTTCCTTTGTCGCGTGGCATAGTCGATATACTAACTAAGCTTGCAGAATAAGTTACGGGCGCAAACCGAATAAATTGTCGCCACAATGTTTGCAATCGAAAAGCTACGGTTAGATACACAAACAATATACAGAAAATAGCTGCTTGTCCATGGAAAAGATGACGAATTCAGGGTCATACTTTTGTTTAGACTTAATTGGCAAGAATTGTTCTGATGGATGATGCTTCGTCCTATGTCGGCGAGCATCGAACAATCTATGGCCTCGAAATCAGCAACCACGTGCTGCGCCAGATGATCGACGCCATCGAAGAGGACTCGGACTCCGACACTGTAAATTCGCTAGCTTTAAATCCAAGACATCGTGTTTTATAGTCGCTGTATGAATTCGCGGATTCAAGGGCCGAAACAGCAATGTTATTGCTTGAGGTAATATTGGCATTAGAGTTTTAGTTGATTCTAGAAAACCGATTCGCTGACGACAAATTTTTTGCGCGAAGAGCGGCACGTTGAAGCGATTCGTGGAACTGAGGCCAAGCTCGATCCACATTTATGGTTGGACTTCCAACTTTTCAGTTACATTCCACTCAGGCGGCGGCTCAACGGCAAGGTACGCGTGCAGACCGTGTCGATGGCATTAGTCTTATGCTTGAATATAGGTATTTTGTTTGAAATTGTCTAAAGACGAAAGAAAATTATTTAGGCATCGACCCGCCTGACCCAGAGCCGTGGCCGGAGCAACGACCCATGATGGAGGCATGGGTACATCCTGGCGGATGGAGCCCCGATAAGGCCATCCTGGCGATCGCCTTCGAACTGCAGCAGGCGTATGCGCGCTTGCAACCTCGTGCCAGGTATTTACTCTCATTGAATTCGCTAAAAACGTTTCCTAGATGTAAATACACCACCAAATCAACCAAAGAAGACATCATGATGTTGTGCCAATCGATGAGGAGACACGCTTCGGTAAGAAAAGACTTTTTGTACATCATGCTTTTTATAGGATGGGAGGGTACTTTTCCACTATAACGGCCACGGCGTTCCTCGGCCAACGAAGCATGGCGATCTATGGGTATTCAACAAGGCCGTAACGCAGTACATCCCCGTAAGTCATCCATGCCAATTCCGCTTTACATTCCATGTTTTAGTTATCAATTAACGATCTGATGGATTGGCTTGGGGCGCCTACAATATATGTCTGGGATTGCAGCTCGGCGGCCAGTTGTATCAATGCCTTTCATGGATTCGGTGAACAGAAGCGGAGGTCCGTCCTGAGCTGATCATTTGTCATGTAAATTTCTCCAGCACCTGGATGCACGAGTTCGAGGAGTACAAGGAGCAAGTTGACGAAATTCACCCCGAAAACGTGTCGCACATGTCGCCCTACGACGAGGCTGAGCTTTATGGGTTCAAACTGCCACCGAATTTCCAGGTTTTTAATTGATACTTTCTAGTATATCCATATCTAGGATTGCGTCCATCTCGCTGCGTGTAGAGAAGACGAAAGATTACCGCAAGACCCCCGAGTCCCAGCCGATCTCTTTGCAGCCTGCCTTACCACGCCAATTAAAGCCAGCATACTGTGGTATGAGCATTTTTCCATATAAAAATTTTTCTCTTAGGTATATGATTAAAAAGGACGTACGAGACAAATATCCCGACAATCTGTTGGATTGTATCCCGGGGCAGATAGGTGATAGGCGCACGCTCCTCGGCGAGCTGAATTTCATCTACTCGGGGATCGCCGATGCTATTGCTTGGAATAGCCTTCCGCCCGAGCTCTTCCAAAGGCTTTTTCGCCAAGTAAGAAAAGTAATTCTTGATGATACCCGATATAGGACCACGTGCTAGCCACCATGTTCCGCAGCTACTTGCTGGCCGAGAAGGTGCTGGAGCACTTTGGCTGCCACACACGCTCCTACCCGTCCTTGCCCGCGATGGCCGCGCATCCGCTGTGGGAGAACTGGGAGATGAGCCTGGACTATGCCATCGACTACCTCGACAAGTTCATGTACTCGGCATCTCCGGCGTATGTGCCTTAGAATCACCCTTCATGTTGTTTTCTAGGAACCAATGCCTCTACGTGTCCAACCAATTGTTCACGGTGACCAGGAGACGCCAGGATTGTTGGTGATTTGTGCTTTTCTTGAATTTTGCGCGCTTTCCCAGAGACCCTAAGATCTTACGGCTGTTTACTTACAGATGAATTTTTGATTGATTTTTGGGAAAAATATGGTAAATAAAAGCAGGATGCAGCGAGACGGTCCAAAATTCAGTTTTTTACCTCTAAAAATCTTTTTTTTTGATAATTATCTAGCGTTCAAAAACGGCTAATTTAGGTGAAAATGACCCACTATTTTACACTCTATTTTATTACCAGGTTTGATTTTCAGTCCTCGATCTCGCCGAGGCAGAACGGGCATTCCCTGAAGAGGGTCTACACTTCTTCGCAGACCAAATGCGCACATTTCGGACGTGGCTGAATGGATTCCACGACCTCGTCCGCCCACCCATTCAGCTGCCCATCGTCGTCCAAGGGCTCTTCAATATGGTTCAAAACAAAATCTATTTTTCAACCTTCTTCTTAGGAACAACGCGCGGACGCCCTTGAGCTGCTATCCAGATTCCTCGATCTCGGTTCACATGCCATTGAGCATTCACTCTCCGTCGGAATATTTTCATTTATTGTGGCATTGCTGCAGACCACTCAAAGGTGAAGAATCTAATACCCGCAATAAATTTGTATTTAGGGACCTGAAACCATGGCTGGCGTTCACTTGGGCAAAGATTCTTGCCGTAGAACGGGAGATCAACGAAGAACTGTATATTGAAATCGACAACAAAGACCAAGAGATCGGGTTTTATCGCCCCGAGGGAAAGGACCTCCGGTTTGGCCGTTGTTCTCTTCAATATATCAGCAATTAAGCATCCTCTACTTCATACAAATTTTGAACGATCCGAGCATTGGCGCCCGGCAGAAGGTCGTCGTCAGCTACATATTGGCCATGCTGTTCCATCCTAAATTCACGCAAGTTGTAGCTCTAAATTCATAAATATTGTTTTAGAAATTCGGACATTGCCCGTCGCTATCTGACTGAGCGCAATTTTATCACCGATTGCACGGAGTTACTTGTCGATCCAAAGGCTAAAAATGTGATTTTATCAAAATCATCAATAAAATATTGTTTTTCAGGTGCACCTTTTGCGGTGTTGGCTCAATTTGACGATGGGTAGCTTGTGGCGAGATTATAACGCAGCCCGATGGCAATCTATTCGTATTACCGGCTATCAGAAGGTAGTAGAAGTTCGAACATTTTTTAGTTATTTGCTTTTTATAGGTTATCGCCGATCTGACCAACGAAAGTGCCGAAGCTCGAGCCTGCGCTTGCTATGCCCTTGGGTCTTTGATGAAAAACCATTCACACACCAATGAACATGCCACAGTGGTAAGATTCGCACTTTCGTCCTAAAAAAAACACACTTTTTTAGATTGACGGCGAGTGCGCGACCGCCCTACTCGCAGCGTGTCTATTTGACGGTTCGGCGCTTGTGCGTGAGGAGATGTGCCTGGCCTTGCAATATTTTGTCGTGGATTTCGTGGAAGTGCTTGCCAAATACTACGTTCGCCTGGTGGATCAATGCAAAATGGACTTTGTGGTAGGGTGGTCACTTCTCCTCGCTTGATACCGGAACCACGCATTCGAAAATCTCGTTTAACGGAATTCGAAAGATCAAACTAGGTTTTTCGAGATTCTGATCGGTCAATTTGTCTGTCGACGTTTCAAGAGCTCCATTAGCGTCGACTTTCCTGATTTCTAGGACGAAATGCTGGTGGATTACGAGCTGTCACGCGAAGAGCTACGAACACGCACCATCTCGGAGACGTCCGCTGACGAGGTGCCTCCACCAAAAGCAACCTCGAGCAGAAGGTTGGTCTTGTCCGTTCACTTCCGGATCTTGGAAATGGGCCTAAAATGTTTAGACGTCTGCTGTCGAACCGAACGCCGGCTCCCCGCAAGCCGGACGTTTACTTCGCCACCTCGGGGCCGTCGGAGCGGGAAATGCGTTTTAGGTTTGTGCTTCTTTTCTATCTGGTATACGGTCTTCAAAGTATTTGTGAATGATGTTTAAAGAAAGCAAAATAAGGGTTTTCGAGGGTACATAATAGGCAAATTCTCGTCATAATTCATGATGGTTTAAAGAGGTCCTTTAGAACTCGAATGAACCGGCAAATTGCCAGCCTTGAGACTCATCAATTTATGGACTCGTTCAACCGGGTGCTGCTTGGCCTGATGCGGGCCTGCCTCGATCCAATGATCAAGGTTTTGCTGCGATCTGCTTCTTTTGTTAGAGTTTTCTAGATCGGTGATCTCGGGCAAATGCTAGTGCGAGCCATCGAAAATGCCGCCATCGAGTACCGGGCTGCGATCGAACGGCGGCTGCTGGCTTCGGCAAGGTTGCATGCGGTACCGAAAAGTTGTAATTCCCCAAATACTGCTCTATAGTTTAACATCAACGGCAAAGCGTCTGGTGACAACCCGGCGCCACCACGCAAGACCTCGGTGTTCGAGTTGCGAAGAGGTTTTATTGCTGTTTATTTTACAAGCTCCTTTTAGAACTTCCCCCACTGACCTCGCCGCCTCGCCACCACTCATTGAATCTGGCTTCCGACGAGGCTTCGGAGATGACGAGCGGGCTGGGCAACAGCAGCACCCTCGACGTGATCAGCCCGGCATCCAGTCGAAAGAGCTCGTTGCGAGACTCGGCGGTATTTTTAAAATTTTTCACATCTTGCTTAACCTTCCAGGTTCGCAAATCATCATCAGCCGCCCGCCCGGTTCGCACTCCCTTGAGCCCCAATAACAAGATTGACTTGATGGCTGCCCCAACAGGTTTGCATATTTCTTTAGACAAGGTCTTCCGTTTCATTTTAGTCGCGATCGAGTTTCTGCTCTGGCGCAAAGAGATGAGTGATGATCCGAGCAACTTGTCGATGAAGGACTTCAACCCGAATTCCATCATTGCCAAGGATCACACATTTATACCAAAGAGGACGGTGGTAAGTGATTTCTTCATTCCTTTTTTGGACCCTGCGATATTTTTTTTCGGAAATTGGCTTCCGAAATTTCGAGGAATTTTTCGAAGACCTGAACTTTTTTGGTTGCCCCCTTATCGCTCTTTCCTATTATTAGCTCGCCGCAATTTTACGAATCTGAATGAAGGTCCGAATTTCTAATAAAATTGCAGAATTCGAAAGAATGTTTTACAGGTCATTTTCGAAGATTTGTATGAAAGACTTTCTTCAACGTGAAATTTAGGCAGGCCGCATCGGCGGCTCCGAATTCAAGGCCCCTCGCCCTCACCCGAAAGCCAACGAAATATTCCCGATCTACGAGCCCCTCGTCGTCAACAAGCTGATCAGCTGGCTGGGCAAATGCTTTGCTGAACCCTGCATCAGCCTAGTTCTCGTAGGGTTTTCGGCCAAAGGCTCTAATTAATTTAGTGTGAACGTGAATGCGATGTGCTTGGCGATCGGCTGAATACGGCCCACCATCCCAGCCGATTCCAACAAGACGAAGATGCCCGTCTCAAAAAGCTGGCTGCCGAGGAGATGGTCACAGTTGTGAAGGGGTTCACGACGTTGCCGAGGAGTGGAATGAGAAGGGCGACCAAGCAGGTTAGAAACCAGCTTTAATAGATCTAATATGAAAAATAGATTATCTTTTCCCTATCCGATAAACGAGTTTTAGATAATCGAGCCAAACGTGCAGCTGATGACCGTCAAAACGGAATCCCCCGTCCTTGCCTCATCTTTCTCTCGGCTCCATCCCCAATTCTATACGACCGACGGCGCCTACGTCTATGCCTACAAATACGAAGATCGACAATGCCACGAAGCATTCCGCTGGCATAACCATGCCGGAAATGGACTGATGGAGGCAGGTTTTACAAGATTCTATTTCTGTATCTTATTTCTTCTAAGATTTTAATGTTCTCTTTTTGACGTTCCCTTTTTTTCGCCTATAGCTTTAAATTGGATTTAAGGATGAAGCCTGTTTCCTCGAGACGATCAACCCGATGGGCAATGAAATGGTTCTTGTCGGATCGAAAAATTCGATCGTCCGCATCTTTGACCTCAGCTACGATGGAGAGACGGGACGAAGGTTGCCGCTAGCCCCGAAAATGGTAGTTTAATTTCTAGATACCTAGCCTCTAGCATAGTAAAAGTAGATTTTATTGTTTGAAACATGTAATAAGTGAATTTCCTGGAAAGAAAATTTGCTTTAGGTCAGTGCTTTCCAATCGCTCGGCAACGTCATGCGCAACCCGTTAAACTACGTGAAATCTTCAAAAACACCGGCCGTTTACAGGTCATTATCTACATTAGTTTGTAATTTCGATTTTAGTTGGAATCAGCCAAGTGGCAAACTGGCGATAGCCGGGTCTGCGCGGGCCGTCAGGTTATGGGATGCGCATTGTGAGCGACAGAGCTACGAGATTCTCTACGAGTACGCTCGCGAAGGCACGATGACGGCCGTGGCCAATGACATTGGGGCCTCGCAGCTTTTTGGTGTTGGTACGTTTTTCCTTTTCATTTTTTAAGTTTGGGAGTTTGGTAATTAACCTGTCTGGTTCAATAAGCTTTTCAAATTAAATTAAGGGAAATGAGATTTTCGTCCTCAAATTTTATCAATTTCCAGGCTTTCGCGACGGTGCTGCCCGCGTCTACGACCAGCGTATGCAGGCGAAAGAGGCCCGCATCTTCATCACGCCCTCCGTCGGTTCGCGCGTCGTCAGCATGCAGCTTCACACGGACCCCGGCGCGCAGACCAAGCTCTGCGTCGGCCACGCCGATGGTGGCATCCAGATATTCGAGCCGAGGATGTCAAAGGTATTTGGTAGCGATTTTTTCAGCATCTTTTTTCCTAGGATCCGGTGCTTTGTCTCGGGCACGAGAAAAAGTATAGTCAACAATTCCCAATGCATGATCGGATGTCTCACTTTGCCGTCCACTCTGATGGACAGGTTTGACAATACTAAAGTGATAATTACAATGCATTTTTTTAGAAAATGGCTGCCACGGTGTTGCGTGAGAACTACGAGGTCGAGCTGTTCGACATGAGCGGAAAGGTAAGTGTCTGGTTTATTAAGCTCGACGTAAGGTAAAAGGCCGTAATGTATTTTCACACAGATTGAAACCAACAAAAATTCTGCACAAAATAGCTTAAGTTCCGAATATATTTTTTGTAAACGGGAAAACACAATAGTATGATCTTTCAGGTACTCACGCGTGTGCACCAGAACGATGCTGAGAATCGTCGTATCGCTCGCCCAACCTCACTTGCCCTACACCCGATCAGACCCCTGATCGGCCTCGGCACCGCGGATAACTGCTTCTCTGTATATGGTGTCGGCATCAGATAATTTTTACCACTCTTCTTCGCCTTGCCTAGCATCATTTGATAACGGGTTCCGGTTAGCTCTACATATCCTAGGCGTACTGTGTATTTTTTTGTTTTGCTTGATCCTTTTCGTTTTCCGTTTTTTTGTTAGGATTTTTGAGTTGCGCGTTGCTCCATCATACATGTTTAGCGATTTCTCTCAATGTCGTCTGTCGTTGATAAATATTGGTAAATGTATTGGAAAGTTTTGCAGCTATAGATTTTCTGGTCAGTGTTTTTCGGTTGGTTCCGGTTTACGGTAGCCGATCCAACGGCGGAGTTTGACTTGGAAATGAAGGCACAAAACGAGTTTATCAATAGGGTTTGTGGTGGAAGGCGTTTATACACTTTTAGGCTATTGTATTCCTTCTCCGCTTTACGGGATAGTCGCCGTTTCGCCCAAGAAATAGGCTCAAAATTGTGTTTCGCGTAATGTGACGTCGCGTGGAGCCCTTCTCGCAACGGCATTCTTCGTGCAGAAGGTGCAAATAGACCCCCGATTTTCCCTAAACAATTTTAGTTTCTCTTGAAAGAATCTGTCGTTTTCGCTTACCAAAATGACCTCAAGCGCCAGCGCTAACAGCGCGCTCCCCAGAAAGTAGGCCGTAAGCCGAAAAAGCGGCAGCAAATACACGACGCGCAGCTGGAAGAATTGGTTGTAGGAATCGAGGCGTCGATATGGGGTGTATGGGCGGCCATAGCTAAAATTCAAAAACGCATTTAAAATTAGTTTAGCAGCCCGATTAAAATTTAGCTCTATTTAGGTATTTCGGAAAGGCTGGACCCACCGCCCGGCAAAGTTCTCATAAGAGCCCAACATCCGCTCAAAAGCCTTGTTGAGCTTCTCCATAACCTTTGTGAGGTTTCTAGGAAGTATATGTAGAAAATATAGGTAGTAAACTTATTAACGGCGTAGCCTAGGATTGCCGGCTGCAAAAATGTGTCGCGGATAAACAACAATCGCGCGCCGCGGTCGATCACAACCACATCATCTTGGATCAAATGGCTATGCATTGCGGCGAATAGGACGGTTTTTGGGGGCAGCTTCTAGGGTTGGATTTCATTGGCGAAAATGGACTTACATCGGAAAAATCGCTGTCTCGGGGGATGTGTAGGGCACTTAAAAACAGTCTTTACGGTTTCGGGTTTTACGAACTTTTTTCGAATTTAATTTTTTCACGAACTTTTTCATATGCTGTTGAATTCGCGGGCATTGGTCCGACTCATCCCTGCAGTAGTCCAGCGGATTCCAGCCCGTTTCATCTTGTAGCACCAGGCGCCACCCTTTATTTTCGATAGCCTCCAGGACACCCTCCAAATCCTGGAACTCGTAGCTAAAACAATGTTTTTTAGAGTTTTTAAGCTTTTTCGGCACTGGACTGTTAGCGGGAGACAATTTTTTTTTCCGAGTAATCCCTTACGGCCCGATAAGGAACTAGCTATAAACAATTTTGATAGCTTCGCTTTCCCTGCTAGCCGTCCACTACCTTTTCCCGTGAATTTTTAAAGACAGCTTACCCTCGTTTAGACGATAACGTCAGCGTACTCTTCATGGCGCTCTCAAAAGATTGCGTAAAAAAGAAGCAAAACCAAATCCAGAAGATCATAAATATTGCGTTCGGAAGGGTGTAGCGTCTATAATAGACTTTAGCTTGATAGTAGGTCCAGTTTTACCTTCTCAATTGCGTATCTTGCTTTAGTATCGTGCGAATCGCGTGGAAAATCCAGGTGACGTAGTCGCGCTTTCCGCCCGATAGGACCCACATGGCGAACGGGCTATAGGAGGGTAGTTTGAAACGTTTAGACCAAAAAACCTGGCAATGAGGGCGAAGATCAGGAATAGATAGACTTCCGGGCATATTGAATTGACGATGAAGTCTCGGATCGGAAAAAGTTGAGTTTTGGGGCGAAATTTTTTTAGTTTCGAAAAGATAGCTAGAACAACAGTTAATCTACGCTGCCCATTTTCTAACTAACTTATTTCTAGTTGAAACCTGTTTTTGTAATCTTTTTAGGATCATTAGGAGCACCTGAAATTCCTCTACTTCCTTGGCGACGTAGCCGTACAATACGTAGTTGACCGGGACCGTGAAGTCGACCTATGTAGTGCATTTTAGGGCTAGTCAAAGTTACAGTGGCTAGTCGCTCGGCGCTCTGCACAATGGCGTGAACCGTCAAATCAGCAGAGCCATTTGCGACCGCAGCCAGAGCTTGTGGTGGAGGATAATCAAATGGGATCACCTAGTTTTGAGTTGTTTCCAATTTTCTAGTCGCCCTCACCTCCGCTTCAAGTCCAGCCATTCCTAAAGCCATATTCAGAAAGTCGACGTCAATGCCCGGCTTGAAGCAGCTCATGTTCCAACAACTAATACGTTTAGTTTAGAAGTTTGAAATCTGGAGCAACCTTTTCCTGAATAGAACAATCGTGCTGTCCTGCATGTAGCCGACGGCTTTCAGCTTCATTTTGAGGGTTGTTAAATTTAAGCCAGCGGTATTTTTTTAGTAGTATTTCAGCCGAGTTCAGGTCAGAATCTAGAAAATATAAAGGTGTCCTAGATTTGAGCGCGAGGCAAGACCGGACTTTGCCTACCACCCGGATTTGGAGCGCCGCGTAACCCGAGATTTCTGTTTGGTAAATATCGTGGTGCTGAACCTGTTAATTATTCAGCCCCGTCCACCCTCAACATGGGCCCGGGATTTAGAATTCTAGACTCTTGGGATTGTCGTTTGCCAATCCCTCGAGGGATGAAAGGATTTCTGCTAGTTTGCCCATTTCGTGGCAGGGAAAAGGTCGTGATTTGCCTCGATTTTATTGTAATTTAAGCATAGGAAAATTCTTTTTCATGGCATTTCTGGTACGTTGCATTATCTACCAGGTTTCCCCAAGGTTGATGCCAGTTTGCCCGATACTTTATAGAAAAACGCTGCTATTTTCGTCGGTTTTATCGGAATTTGATCGTAGCACGATTCTAAGTTTTTTTGGTCCTTTTGACTTATTTTCCATTTTTCCCAAAAGGTTTCTGCAAGCTGGTCCGCATCGCTGGCTCTGCGAAGCTCGACGGTGGATATATAGCTTGGATTTGATCCGTAGCATTTTTGATTTTTTAGTCGTTGAGGATTTAGATTTAGGTTTTCCAGTGAAGCCAAAAAAAAACCCCAATTTTTGGCACAATCCGATCATAACTTGTCTTTATGGCCAAGAATATCGATATATCTCGTTTATGTGCTCTACAATACGGGTTCACAATCACGAGAAAAAAAGGAGTATCAGGTGTGAATTGGGAGAGTCGGAGCGAGTTTATTTGCCGGTGTGGGCGGGCGGCTGGAGGAGGGTGCGGTCGATGTCGTGTTTCCAGGCGTCCAGCGGTTCCGGGCTCTCTTGTAGGTACCTTAAAAAGGATAATAATATTCGAAATTTTGGTAAAAAGCTAGGAAACCAAACTTAGCCAAACTTTGAAAACGCACTTGTATTGGGCCCAGCTCTGGTCATGCACGTCTTGGTTTCGCTGCGAGGTTGGCGGTTGCGTAGCACCTAAAAATATGTTGTTGTTAAGGAATTAATGTCTTTGAAAAGCTACCCTGTGCCACAGCGGTCGGGTAGAGGAAATGCTCGCGTCGGCGGCAGCTGGAATTTTTTAGAGGTTCTTTTGCATTATCGGGGGGGAGGACAGTTATCGCGGGGTGGAACCAACTTTTCCTATGCGTCCATAAATGTTTATTGAGCTAATAATAGATGTTTTAAGCCTGTTTTTAGTAAAATGGACGACATTTTAAGTAGAAAAAAAGCTAAAAACTTAGAAAAAACTTTTTTTAGCTAAAATTTTGGTAAAAAAATAGATATCTCTATAATTTTTTAAATCGAAATTTGTTAAGTTTTACGTTGCGGAATAGTAAAAAGCAGTTTAGAAACACTTCCACTGTTTTTATTGGAAACATTGGATCCTTAGGAAAAAGGTGGCTCCTCCTTCTAGCCCCCCCCCCCCCCCGATAATGCGAGAGAACCGGTATTTTAAAGGAGGCAACTTCGGGTTCTAAAAACCCAAAAAATACTACATTCCCGGGGACCTTAAACCGTCCAAATGCTCATACCAGAAATCCTTGAAGCACCAGAAGATGAAGAAGCTGACAAAGAGGGTGGAGGGGCACACGAGAAACGCGATCCGCTTCAGGCACATCCGATCGCAATTATCTGGCGGTTCTGAAGAAATATAGATGAAAGGTTAAAATTAAAGTAATTAAATTCGGCGTCATTCCTTACCCGAGCAAGGTTTGACCTCACTGCTGAGCTGGCCGAGGCAGTCCAGCTTCTCCCACGCCTCCATCGCCTCGGTCGACGCGTTGGCGACCTGGAACAATTTTTTTGGGTGAACGAGCATAAAAATTCAAGACGTCAGATGGCATAAAGACATTAAAAATCACCAGAAGAGCCCTCTCAGCGCAGCTACAAGCATTTCCGTCGCAAAACTGGCGGCCCCGTTGGTGGTAGAGGCAGTGGTCGTGGATTTTCATACAGTCCAGGACGGGCCCTAACACAAGGAGTTTAAATTTAGCTTTAAAAAGCAGCTAAAGGGACTGGCAAGGCGTGATCATCGATTTTTTTTTGTGGCTGCTACTGGCTATACTGGCTATTTTGTGGATTTTGGATTTTGCTATTTTGCGTTTTCCGCCCCCTTTAAAGTGGCTAAGAACTACGGGAATCCACCCCCCAGTCGACTGGACATCGTTAACTACGCGACATTTCAAATTACGCGTGTAAGCGCTGGATTTTGTCGCCTCTTGTGGCGGTCGAGGCCTAGGCCACTCTATGGGTCGATTCTGGCCTTCACAGCCCCTTTAAAGCGTCGAAAATCGGATGGTATTGACCCAAAAACAACGAAAAATGTACACCCAGCTGTCGTCACATTGTTCACCATCATCACGTAGCGAGTCCTGGCCCAAATATCCAGATTCAGGTTGCACGGCGGCGGCGGCGGGGGTCGTCGCTTAAATCAGGGCATGGAGGTGGAATTTCGGTATAAATCGCTAAAAAATAAATAACTTTGCGTAAAAACACACAAAATCTTTCAGGTCTTCCGCATCCATCGCCGAGGCCGGACAGCAGGCCTAAAATTTGCAAAAGGAGGATAGAAGCTGTAGTACTCATCCAGAGATTCATGCATTAGAAACATCGATTAACAAGGCGATTACAGGGATACCCAACCTTTCCGAGGCTCAAAAAGCAAAAACAATGACGCGGGCGGGGGTCGAACCCCGGACCCTCGCTTTGAACACCTGGATGCTATCCATTAGGCCATAGTGGCAAGCCATTGCTTGGGATGGGGATGTCACAAGAGGGGAAAGGTGTCCGAATTCCGTGCGGCACTGGGCACCCCTTCCCGCACAAAATTCGCGCGTCATTTGTACTCTCCGGAATACATAACTATATATTTGCCCCAAAAACATTGGGTACCCCTTTAAACCCCGAAAGTACTACCAAAATCAAAAACAGCAGCGGAAGTTGGGCGGTCTTCATCGCTAGACGTAGAAATGGTGGCTATTCCGAGGTTGATCGTTACTGAAAATTGATGCTATATGCAAATCCTTGCTGTTTATGGTAATTTTTGCAAAAATGACCAAAAAGGTAAAAAGTCTTCAAGCTTGAAAAATGTTTAAATACAGAAAATTCCTAGTAATAAAAACTAAGAATGAAAAAAGCGCTAAAAATGCGTCATTAATTTTTTTCGCGTAGCTCTCGATTGAGAGTCGAAGTGATGGGCCTTTTTTAAAATTGCCGGGGCCGTTAGCCCTCATAATCTTCATCAAAATCTTTATTCCAAGAGCACAAAATAAAGCCAAAAGATTGTGAATGTATACGACAGCTCTTTTTTTCGTATTCAGGCATAGGCTCCACGACGGAGGGACCGCTGCACACCGAGCTTCTTGTGGATGGGTAGGTCGACAATGATTGCCTTCTCCTTGAACATCTCCAGCGAGCGTGCCATGGCGACGGCGGGCGGGGTCTAAAACTTTTTAGTTGCCTCTGCAATGAATTAAATTTATCATTTTTAGTTCTAAGCCCTGCTACCTCAGGCTTGAAATTGAGCAAGAGCCGCGCCTTCTTGTCGCAAAATCCGATAACCTTCTCGAAGATGGCGCGCCACGTGTGGAAGTGAAGGCGGCCTTCTTGGGGCTGAAAAGGAGAATTTGCATTTTTTATTTTAAAGGGCCGATGAGGTCAGGCAGATGGACGTTTCGGCCAGAATTCAAATATCCGTCAGTTTTAAAGGAATTTACAAGGCACGGTAATGAAAGTTCCGAATTTTTTATGCGTTTGTGCCAAGCCCGTAATACGCAACGGGCATGCCGATCGCCTTCGTGAAGAGTTCATAACCCATTCTGCAACGAAATTCCGAGCCGTAAGGCCTAGCCAAGTCTATCTTGCCTTTCCGGTCCTTTTAAACCAAAATTTAACATCCTATTTGATTCCACTGCTGGCTTAGGCCAACCCCTGATCGCTACAGCCTTTTCCCTAAGTGCCCTGAACCCTATGGTTTTGGCAAACTCGGGAGGGGGCCGGAAGAGAAAGGGGAGGGACGATCGCGAGTCACCAGGCGGAGGGCAAGGTCGTTCGCAAAAACGGCATTTGCAATTTCGAGGAGCGGGAGAGGGGAGCGTTGTTGAACTCCAGGCAATTCTCCGAATCGGCACTTGTTTTGGCCGATTTCAATTTGGCTGCGCTCTAGTTGCGAGCTGGAAGATTGCAAGGAAGGTCAGAAGAAAATCGGAAAGGCAGCCCAAAGCTAGGCCTAAATCTAGGTCTAAGCCTAAGCCTAGCTGACTACATCCAGCCAATGGCAAGGGCCCGTTTTAGCACGACTGGCGGCCTTACGAACAAAATGTAAACCCACCATCCCACAAGCCCTCGATAAATGAGGATAGAGCGTTCTGAAAAATGCCGTCCAGAACGGTGTCTCCTGGCTGAGGTGCTCGCCACCAGTTCGCTCCTTGAGGAACTGTAAAGAGGACATTGCGGAATCAAAGCCAAAAATCTACTTACATCAATAAATGAAGCGACATAGGTGTTATCGGTAAGGTAGACGAGCTCATTTGAATATTTCTGAGGGTCGGCCTTCAGAAAGAAGACGCAGTCCTCGATCGTTTTTGCCAGGTTTCCGGCGTACATCTGAAAGCGGAGATAACGTAGATGGGAGCGATTTTGCTGAGGCTGTCCCTTTATACGTCAAAAAGTGGTTTAAAGGGACTCTCAAGCGCATAATCGACGTTTTTCCTGGATGTCTAAAGGGCGTTTTGGGCCTGGTCGGGTAACTGTCGAAACCCATTTTTCTCGGCCCTTTTCGCAAAAACTTACAAATTGATGAAGACCACGTCTAGGTCCAGGAGTATACGGTAGCTGATCTGAATCCACCAGGCGTTTTAACCCCTTCCAGAAAGAAGACGGAATCTCGGAGTAGACCCACGTGGGGCGGAGGAAAATTGCGTCGAGAGAGTTATCTGGAATGGAAGTTACGGTAAGATCTCTAGCTCTCTCACTCTCTATCTCTCTATCTCTCTCTCTCTCTCTCTCTCTCTCTCTCTCTCGGTCTCACTCACGTACCTTTTTCAGCAGCTTTCCTAGCCAAAAGTTCGGCTCGAGTTCTGGATTCACCCCATTCACCGAGTAGAAAACTGCTAGGGAGGCCCCTAAAAATTGAACCTTATCTTGACGGTACCAATTCTATTACATACCTGTGAATATCCTCAGACAACCCAAAATTGTCATCAACTGGGAGCGCTGAATAGGCATCACCAACATAAACAAGTCGTCGGATCTTTTTGGCTAGCATCCGCTCGATGAGGCGCTCGGTGGCTAAAAAAATGAATTTAAGAGAAGGTGAGAGAAAAATGCGCGAGAAAGACGGAAATAGAGAGAGAGAGAGAGAGAGAGAGAGAGCGAGAGAGAGTGGGAGAATGAGAGAAATGACAGAGAGGGACTGCGAGAGAGCGGTAGAACCTACCATCAACATTGTCCATCCACATCTGGGTGAGGTCCTCCTTGCTCTGGTAGATGAGCGGCAGGTCAGCCTGAAAATTCTTTGGTATTTTCTTTTAGATGGAAAAACCTTCGCTGTATGTACAACGGCGGTAACTCCTTGAAGAGCTCGGTCCAGGTCGGCATCATTTCCGGTGAGGTCCAGTTGGATGTAGCGGATTTTGGGGTGAGATTCTGAAAGCACGACGGTCAGGAGGAAGTACCATCTGTCACTCATTCTTTCCCCCTCTCTCCCTCTCTCTCTCTCTCGCTCTCTCTCTCTCTCGCGCGCGCTCTCTCTCTCTCTCTAGCTCTCTCTCTCTCTCTCTCTCTCTCTCTCTCTCTCTCTCTCTCTCTCTCGGTTCCAAAAGTCACAATTTCAAAAACTGCCGTAGCAAGATCGACATCTTCCTCCCCTCCTTCTATTTTCAGATGAACTACGCGTCCCCAGCAATGGCACACGTTTCCTCCCAGAATCCTCGACCCCCATCCACCCCGCCTCGTACCTCCCTTATCCCCGCCGGGCATCTCTATTGCATCCGAGCCATTGAGCCACAGAGCCCGCCAAATTCTGATCTCCATCTCAAGCTTTCACCTCTTCCTCATCCTCATCCTCCCTTTCTCTACTCCCTCATCTGGCCCGGAGCCGATCCGGGCCAAATCGATTTTCGCTTCGAGGGGCAGGGGAGCGGGTTCTTAGAAAATTAAAGTTTTCGGGGGTGCATGGTTGAAATATTGGCTAGCAACATAGTTTGGAAGCCTCTTAAAACAGTAGAAGCTAAGCCTAAGCCTAAGCTAAGCCTAATCTAAAGCCTAAGACTAAATGGTCGAAGCTAGGTCAAAGCTATGCAAAAGGGAAACCTAATCTAGGCTAATTCTAAGCCCAAGTTAAGTCTATGCTAAGCTAGCCAACGCAAGCCTAACTTCTAGCCACTGAGTCCCCAAAAAAATAGTCTTAAAGGGATGCCCAACCTTTTCGGGGCTCAAAAAGCAAAAACCATGCAGCGGACGGTGGTCGAACCCGGGACCCCCGATTTGTAGGCCTGGATGCTATCCATTAGGCCATAGCGGCAAGCCATTGGGTGGGCCGGGGACGCCACAAGAGGGAAAGGTGTCCGAATTCTGTGCGTCACTGGCGCCTCATTGCCACACAAAATTCCCGCGTCAATTGTACTGCCCGGAATACATAACTATATATTTGCCACCAAAACCTTGCGTATCCCTTTAAACTGAAATGATTTTTGATCGCCGCCAGAACCGCGTGATAATGTGCCACCTGGGTGATGATTGAAATCCGTAGAGGGAAAGTGACGGAAAGGGGAGGATTGGTGGAGGGTGGCAGGAAAAGCCGGCGGCTGGTTCTCTAACACCTAGCCGATCTACAGCAACTGCAAAAGAGTGGAAGGTTCGGGACGTCTAGGCGCTTTTGGCAAGGTTTTCTGATCAGAAAAACGCTCCATTTTCATCTCTCACTCTCTCTCTCTCTCTCTCTCTCTCTCTCTCTCTCTCTCTCTCTCTCTCTCTCTCTCTCTCTCTCTCTCTCTCTCTCTCTCTCTCTCTCTCTCTCTCTCTCTCTCTCTCGCTCTCTCTCTAGGTGTTCTCATCTCATCTCATCGCGTGAAACTTTCTATTCCAGCCCCTCCATTTCGAGGTGATAAGGCTCGCCATCCTCCGCGAGATCAACTTGATCACCCTCCACTTTTTGCACTTTCCGAAATGATTCCCGGGTGGAACGCCACTACCCAAGAACTTTGAAAAGACCGATCAGCAGCCCTGACAAAAGTAATCTGAAGAAAACACGAATATGATAAGGATTTTGTTATGGTTTTTTTGGAAACTTTGAGGATCGCTTGGGGAGCAAAACTACAGGGCAAGACCCAAGCGCCCGAGAAAACCGGTATATTTCCATTGCTCAGAGGAATGGCTAATGGAATTTGCGATTGTTTGTACACGAGCGAGAAAGAGAGCGAGAGAGTGAGAAAGAGAGAGAAAGAGAGAGAGCGAGAGAGAGAGAGAGAAAGACCGCCGGAACCGAGAATGATCCGTTGTAGTGAAAACGGCAGTAGCTAACAATAAGGTGAAGGATAATTGGTTCAGGTCGGCAGCAAAAAAAACAGAACTAGCAAATTTTCGACGGAATTGCTGTAAATGAAAATCTTTGAAAAGCTTCTCACCTGGCCTCTCTGCGCTGCGGTCAATAATCCGGATCTCTTCGACATTTGCATTCTCGCAGAGCCGACGAGCCACGAATCGTCCCACCACGCCGCAACCGCCCGTGATGGCTACGGTTTCCATGGACTGAAATCAAGTCCATACAACTTGAAAGATGGGCTTAGGTGCCAATGGAATGAAAATGGAAAAGTAAAAATTGTAGATGGTGTGCTAAAAACCAAACTACGGTATTTTATAGCGATAAAACGAAAAATGGTGTTTTTCTGGAAGTGTAAATGTTCGGAAAAAGAAGAAAAGGGAAAATAAGCAAGAAAAAACTGACGGTCGGGTTTTAGGAGCTGTACCTGTATGTAACAACTAGGTAGCATACCGCAACGACGAAAATTCCAGAAAAAAACAAAACCTCAATTCGGCTGATAAGACCGGTAAGAATCAAAAACGTGGGACGACGTATTGAAAAGTACTAAAATATAGGGGGTGCCTAAGCAGGGCCTTGAAGATTCTGCTTCGACCTCTTCGGCTTACTATGTCTCGATAAGTACTTCAGGCTCCAAAAGACGACAAAGCTCTATTTCTACTTGCTCGAATGCGATTTTTATTTATTTATCAAGAAGCTAGGTACAAAATCTACTGTAGTTATACGCTTTTCAGGCATTTTTCGTAGTTGTCGAGACCTAGTCAGTCATGGGTTGATTATAGGGCTTACTAGTTCCTTGAGAATAGACGATGATTCTCAATTCGCAGATCGGGTCCATAAGATCAAGAATCCCCATAAAAACCCAACTGCAAGAAATTCGCCGAAAATTTTAGTATTTTTGGCCGCCGAACGGACTACGTCACGATCCTCTATATCCAATGGTCAAGGCTGGGAGAACTTGATAGACCGAACAACACAACCCCTATCAGTCGTCGATCCACTGATTCACCCAACTGACCAGCCAGCCGATCAACTTCGAGCAGTACGGCAGGATAAGTTCGGAAATGGACGGACAGACAGATAGATAGTTCGACAGACAGACAGATCCACGGCCGCGAGGCGGAGGAGTGAATTGTGGGCGGGGCTTTAGGGGCTGCTGCTGTGCGGGATGGGAATGCCAAGATCTCATCGCGACCAGCTTCCAGCCCCGGTGAATGCCTGGGGAATTTCGATGTGAAAAGCTATCGGCAAAGTACAAAGAACTTTAACAAAATTCAAACTATTTTTAGAGCTATCAATAAAGATTTAAACCCCGAAACTTTCCAAAAATTAACGATAAAAATTTGGCTTTCTGAAATCGCGAAAATCATCAAAAACTCTATTTTTGTTATTTTTGCAAAATTTTAACTGGAATTCGATCACATAGTCGCCAGAAATCCTCTAAAAAATCATTTGTAAAGAATGAGCTTTTGGAAATGCGTTTATTGAGGTTTAAAATCCGGGAATGCCACCAAAATAAATAAAAAAAACCCAAAATAAGTACAAAGTCAATAAATAAGGCAAGGCATGCTGTCAGTCATTCGCGGTTCCCCCTTTTGCCGTTTAATACACATTGTAGCCGGTCATACGGTATCCATAGGCGTTCACATACTCATGGACGGTGGGGCTCAACGAGTTCGGCGAGCTGGTTCCCTGAAAATGTTATTTTTAAGGCAATTTTTCATTTTAAGCTTTGAATTTTTTGTTTTTTCCGTACGGTTGTGCTTTGCGCAAAACCCACCAAAATCTTCCATACGGTAGGGTGGGGCTGGGGGCCGAATGGCCAGGCGACCCGACCGAGCGGTGAGTCAAATATGCGCACATCCGGGAATTCCTTCTCCATCGGGACCGGGGGAAGTTGGCTGGCCGCCAACTACAAAATGACGTTTAGTTTTCAGGTTTGGCAGAGTCGAAATATTTGGAAGGCCCCCGAAAAAATTTTTCCAAAAACTCAAAAAAATTAACGAGAAAACAGCGTCGCAGGCGAAAAAATTGGAAAAAGGCTACTTAGCTCTACAAATAGCAGTAAAAACGTGAAAAAATATCGCCGTAGGCAGCAAAATTTTTGTGAAAATAAAAATCATAAGGCTATGGAATTTTTGGGCACCGGCCGGTTTCGGGGGTAGGGGGGGGGGGCGGGCCCAGGGGGCTCACCTTACGCTACGTCCCAGGCCACGATAAAGTGCAGTTTACCCCACACCCCAGCCGAATTCCACCTGCCGTATCTCGGCTTCTTGTTAGGCTACTAGGTTATAAGGTTCTTCAAAATACTCGGAAGGGCATGGCGAACATTTTGGTGTCTTTTAGGCACCTGTAAGATAACGCGAAGCCGAGATATGAAGGAGATACGAGCCTAAGGCTGGGCGGGGGGATTAGCGGGACTCTTACCGGAATTTCAATGGAATATCCTAGAATGAAGTAAAACGCAATCTACTTACCTTCAACACAAACATCTGTAGCAAAAGCGTGGCTAGTCTGGCCATCTGGTGTCTGCCGGAATGCCGTATCCGCGTGGGGAGACGCGTGGTGGGGGCACGCGGAGGCCATCCGTCCACCCCGCTAGCCCGCCCTGGCCTGTCACCTCGGCGTCACTCGGCGGATAAACACTGATCTAGGCGACCCGCGAGAGATTAGGTGCTTTAAACTACGTTAGGAATACGTGAAATATAACTTAAAACTCTCTAAAGATGTAGTAGTTGTCGATATCTAACCGAAGCGAATGGTCGATTCTCAGTCTACACAGCCCCTTTAATAGACAATTAAAGGCAGACATTTTACTATTTCATGTCAGAATATGACAAAAAAATGTAAAATTATTTCGTAAAATCCAGCGAAGATAGATAGGAACACTGTTAATATTTTGTCGATCGATATATACTTAAAGTTTCGGACTTTTGAGAACCGATTATCATCACCAAAAAAAAACTAGAAAGATGCAATTATAATTGTGCAATTACAAGCGGACTGGCGAAAGATGGACAGGTGAAAAAGTTGAATGGCCGACCCTCCACCAAAAGCCCCGGATATTTTTAGGCGGATGCTGATTTCCGGGCAGCCACGAACCCCCTGGCTAGCCATCTGGAACGCCGGCTCGCGCCAGTTTTACGCTTTCAAGGCCTTTTCGTCGAATTTGAAGCTTTGGCTCTAGAGGTTCTAGACCAAATTCCCACCCCCGAAAAAGCACGTGTCTCTTTTTGCCCTGCAAATTTTTCTGGGCTCGTTGAACCGAGCAACAGCCGCAGCAATGGAGCCGGAAATCTTGGCGTGATTCGAAACTTTGTTGGACGGAAGATGGAGGTATTTTTAATTTTAACTTGGTCATAATGCTGACTTTTGAAGATAGGAATCGTATTTTATTCTTGCCTTTAACATCATTTTATTTGGAAGGCATTAAGGCAACGCTCAAATAAACTAACCTTAACAAGGTGAGAAAAGCAACGTAATTTTCTGAAATTTATAAATACGTCTAAGATAATTTAAGTTCTCGTTGACGTCTTTGTGCTTACTTTTCTCAATTTTGATTTAAGCAATTTTTAAAATACCAGGCGGAAAGTATGGAAGTGTTTTTGCCTATAGAGCCAAACTTTCCGGTAACCGCTGGGTCCCATAAAAGTTAACAAAACCAAATTTCTTCTAACTACCATAATTTTATATAGTCCAAACTACACCGGGGTCACCGTCGTGTCGTCAGATGCTTGAAGCGTGCCAACCGGCCGGATAATATTACCAAATATACCTTGGCTGCTGGCTGGCTGGTCGGTCAAGGGGTTCGTCTGGGTGGGCAGAGCACAGCAGAAGGTTACCCGATGTTTTTCGTAGTAGTTGAGCCTAAAATAGGCGTTTCCGCTCCTTTTCGGGTCACCTCAAAAGCCCGAAAGCTTTACCTTAGGAACCTAAGCCAAGCATATACCTCAGCCAAGCCTATACTTAAGCCTAAGCTAAGGCTAAGATAATTCTAAGCTAAGCCTTAGCTAATTCTAAGATAATCCTAAGCCAGCCTAAGCTAAGGCTAAACCAAGCCTAGCTTGTATTGCCCTTCTTTTCATATGTGTTGTTAATCCAAATCACGTTCGCTCCAATTTACGTACCACCGGTCCTTAATTCCGCTTTTCACCTATGTCCTTTCCGTCAAAGTTCGCTACAATTAACGGTTTACAAAGGACTACAAATTCCGGTGAACGCCTCTCGCCAACACCCCCTTTTTCTTGACTTCTATTTTCCCCCACCTCACTGAATTTCGACGCGTTCCCAGGGTCCATTAGAGGTAATAAATGACGCGGTGAAAGGTTCATGCATTTTCTAATTTTGGGAGGCACGAGGAATGCTTTTCGCGTTACTTTGTGTCAGTAGTTTTTGGCAACAACAAACGAGTTCGTTTCTAAACGACTGGAAAACGCGCGATTCACCATGCTTCTTTTGACTGGGTCTAGACGATGCGCGTGGGCGCCGGTGTGTCTAGACCTAGCTAAGGAAGGGGTCGATTTTCGCACTTCTCAGTTCCTTTAAAAATTTTCCGGCCGTCGAATAAGTTCTAGCATTTAGTTTTTGCCTCCATTCAGTTTACCGTTTCTAGCACTTGAAAAATTCTTTTATGGGCCAGAATGTCATAATTTGAGTTTTCGAATTTTCAGGGTAATTTCAAAATTCGCTGTTATTATAATTAAATTTCCGGCGTATCGTTGTGTAGGCTATGAATTATGGTAGATCGGCCTAAGCCAAAAACACGCAAACGGCTTTTCGCTATTTATAAATTCATATGTTCGCAAAATTTGAAGCTTGCCGATAGTTCGTATTGGAAAAAGCCTTCAAAAACACTTAATGGGCCGGATTTAACGATTGCGATCGAGTAATTTATCCCTATTTTTAAGACATATTTCTACGGTTTTTTTCTCAATTAAATCGATCCATGCAACTTTCCCTCCCTCCCTTTTTTCTCTCCACTCTAAAGTTGCCACTGTGCCAACAGCCTGATCCTTCCCTAGCCCTTTCTAGCTCTTCTTTTTAGGATGGTGTGTGTTCGGGTGCCCAGAAAGCGATTTGCGAAAATGGCCCCAACTGGGGTGTTGCCCATCGGCCCCCCTGGCCAACGAAAAGTTGAAATGAGGAAAAAGCCGGGTAGCGGGCCCAGAACACGGCCACCACCGCCCGGACAAAACCAAATCAGTCGTCGCCGGTTAGCGAAAAAAGGTGTTGCACCGCCCGGTGGCAGCCGCTCATTTTCACCCCGCATTTTTGCAAATTCGGGCCGGAACTCGGTTTTCAAACGACGTGCTTGCAGATTTTTGGGTGTTTCTTTGGGGTTCTGGAACCGCTGAGCGACCTAAGCTAAGCCCAAGCTAAGCCTAAGCTGAGCCATAGCTGTGCCTAGGCTAAGCCTAAACCTAGTAAGCCTTGTCAGCTTTGTAAGCCTTGTAAGCCTAGGCCCAAGCCAAATCATAAGCCTGCGAACGATGCAAAATCGGTTCACCTACCATTAGTGCACAAACAACAGGGTGCACGTGTCTTTTCCTGCTTTTTCTCTAGCTCCTATCAGCCGTTTTCTTTCTGTATCGATTCCTGAAAATCCAAGTGCTTTTCATAGAAAAAAGTTAAAAGATTATAGAGTTCAGTATCTAAGTTTCCTGTTAAATTGTAGACTAACAAGGGGACGTTTTTTGGTGTGAATGGAGTTCTGAGTGGAAACCAGGCCTATTTTCTGCAGAATTTTGCGCTGATCTCGAATATGTTTTCCATTTCTGCTAAATAGCTCGATTTCAAAAGTTATAGCAATTTTAAGATCATTTTAGCCGAAATTTTCCCCTCTGTAGGGGCCATTATATTGCTTTTCCCGGCTGTTTTTCCAAAAACAAATATCGTCACCGTATTCAGAAAAATTTTCTCTATCGAATGAGCTATTTAACTCAAAATTGTTGAAAATCGAAAAAATCGACGATACTTGGTATGGGCTGCGATTTTTGTATGGGAAATGGTGAAAAATAGCCTATTTCTCACCCCTGTAAGCCATCGTCGATCGGCAGTAGCGCACTGATCAAATATACTATTCGAATCACAAAAAAATTGTCTACAAGATAGGCTACTTAAACAAAATTAAAACGTTATAACAAAAAAGTAGCACAGCATAGCATATGGCTACTCTGGGCCTAAAAATTATCTTAAAATAGCTGTAAATTTTTAAATCGAGCTATTTAGCAAAATTGGAAAACAGCATCGGAATCAGCGCAAAATTCTGCACAGAATAGGCCTGGTTTCAACTTAAAACTCCATTCACACTAAAAAACGTCTCCTTATAAGCGTTATATCCCTGTTTCTAGCTTTCTATCCCTCAAATCTTAATCTTATATGTTTAAACTCCTAATCTGCTTGCTAGATTTCTGATAACCGTATGTGTTTTCCAATGCGTCGTCTCCAGGAAATGGAGCTTTATGCTCGAGCGTTTACGAGATTTCATAAGCACCTCTGGGCCTAACAAAATCCCCCTGAATTCCCCCATTTTCGTTGCTTCTCAGTGTTTTTGGATTCGTCATAATAGGAATTTTACGTACCTAGGGCTCTTTTGCACCCTCGCTGAACGTCAACCCCTCTTTTATGCTCGAAAAATCGTCCGGACCTTGTGCGCTTTGTGGTTAAGCTGACCCCGGCTACGAAAACAGCTGGAGAAATTCAGCTGCGGGCAGCTGAAAATCGCGTTTTTCGTTGTTATATCTCTAAAACAATTAGGAGCGTGCCACTGATCCCCACACACTTGTTGATTTTTAAAACTTTTAGCTGATGTTCATGGCTGCTCTTTTTTCTGCCTTGAAGTTAATTTGGTTTTGGTTAACTAGTTAGAAGAAGAAGCTAGTCTTAGACCACAGGACGCAGAATAAAATTTTCAAAAAGTCACATTTCTCTGATATTGCGATTTTTTTGCTCTTTGTCGTTGCTGAACGAGTATCAAGCCATTCGAATCAGAAGACAAATTCTATTAATGCTCAGTTTTTCGTTTTTTTTCGAAATTAATCTCGTTCCAAATTCTGGCCGGACGCTAAACTACCGAGAGATTATTGTAACTAATGTCACATAGACAATCTAAAACCGAATCGGTGAATTGGATGGGTTTCGGATTTCCAAGTTCTCATTGTTTTCTGAATTTTCCAATTTTTTATGGTTCGTTAAAAGTTCTGCACCCCTTTTTACCCCTCTCCCTTACGAAGCCAAAAAAGAACTACACCGTACTACTCTAAACATTTCCCCACCCACCCGGGTGTTTTGTTTATTCCGGGCATTCGGCCAGCGGCCCGCTCGGATTCATGTTCCACCCCGAGCACCCTTGAATTTGGGGCTTTTTTTGAAAAAAAAACATGGCCCAACGCTGTGGACCCAGCACATCGTCTTGGTGACTAATTTCTGTTCCTGTTCCGCTCGATTACTCCTTACGGCTTGGCGCGGATTCGTGTTTCGAAATCTATGGAAT